AAAAGCTGTATTTGCTTGCAAATCTTTCAATTTGTTTACCTCTATCACAAATATAATGCATCCAGTCGCCACGAACGGGCTTTCAAAACACAGACCGGAGGCCCAAAAAAGCAATGCAAGAAAATACCCAAAAAAAAAAAACAGGTGCGTAGAACCGAACAATGAAAAGATACAGCAATGAAGCGAATGCTCTCAAAACAGCTAATTAGCATTTCGTTAACGGGAATTGATTTGCATATTAAATAAAAGACATGTTTGGGATATTTGTAACTGTGACATACTCAAAATACAACTCACAATATGATAATAATTACAAAAGACAAAAAACAATATTTTAACTTTTATATTTCCTACCATTAATATATAAAGTTCCGTTTTTGAATACTGGCTTGTCACCGCGATTATACGCTTCTAACATAATCGGCCGTAGGGCTTTCTTTTTCACATAGTCCGCTTTGCACAAGTCATCAACGGCGAAAATTTGCGTTCCCTCCAAGGCTTTGCAAGACATTTTCTTCACTTTAAACTTCTGAGGTCTCAGTACAAATTTAGCGATGATATGACGAGGCTTCGAACCACCTGTGCTGCCAACGCGATGTGCATTTTCAATAGCAGGCTCACTAATTTGAAAGCGATTCTTTAGTAACTCAGTTATTACGTTCACACAATTGTCATGTTGATTTTCCTTAATACCACCGAAACGCAAGTTGTACGATCTTGAATATCTCTCACCTTTAAGAAGCTAGTCTTGTAATTCCGATATAGTAGCCAAACTTTGTTGGTGTTGTTCCTCTCTCCAATAAGGCATTAACTTGGTCAGTCATGCATTTTACCGATTCTTCATTAAATTCCAAGGCCTTTTCTAAATCCTTACATCTATTTTCAACCAAGGTAACTCGTTCTAATTGCGCATGTTACGCGTTTGCAAAATCGTCTATTTTCTTTTCTAAATGCAGCCATGTCTGACGCACGAATTGTTCAACTGTGCTTTTCTGCCCACCTGCACTAGTGTCGTCTTCATTCCTCTACATTGTAGTTACGTAATCGTCCATGCTGACAATGTCGCCTTGCTTACCGGATTTCTTTCTTGAACCTCTTGTGCTTCGCCCAGTCATAATTAAAGTTTACGAATGATGTTATTAAGTCGTACTGCATTTAACCGTGAAATAATTTGTGTTTTGCGGGACTTAAGCCGTCTTACTCCATATAGTAGTAGTCCAGAGTTTTAAATCCGGTTTGGTCCCCGAAGACGAGGGTGGCCGGATTCACCTTAAACTAGTGGCAATCGCTCTTACCCCCTCCCTCCACTTTGCACGATTTAAAGCATACCTCATCCTCATCCCAACCTTCCCACTCTCCTCCTCCACTTGCATCTTCCACGTCTTCTTTGGCCTTCCTCTTTTCCTTGGACCACTCACCTCTAAATCAAGGGCCCTTCTTATACATGCCCATCCTTCCTCCTCAG